CTGCACGTTGTGCACATGTACCCTGGAACTTGAAGTATAATAAAAATAAATAAATAAATAAATAATAATAATAATAATAAAAGAAAAAAGAATTTTGCTGTAGAAGGCAATGAGCAAGACAGGAGCCCTTCTTGGGTGTGGCGTACAGGAAGCTGGCAGCTGCACATCCATCCTGGCTTTAACAAGCACAGCTGGTACTGTTTCTCCATCTCACTCTTTCTATGTCTGCTCTCTGGCTCCTCTATTTCTACACTCAGGCTTCCCAGGACTCAGGAGTGAAATATTCACCACGTGCCCTGACAGGGCCACCAGGGCCTCTGGGCCTTGGTGACACTTCTAGCCTTCTCCTCTTTTGAGACTTCTAATATTTTGCTATTGAGCCCAAGGGCAGTGATTTATATTACTGAAAGTCAACAGTTCTCTAGATTTCTAAATTATGCATTTTTGATGATAATCTAAAACAAATTAAGATGACCATATTCTGGATCAGACTTTTAAGGCTGGGTACTGGTACACAATTTCACTACCTGCACTTACATTTGTATTGATGTTGAGTGGCACTTTATAATCTCTAGCTAAAAGGGAAAGAACAGAGGCACAGAGCTAGATGAATACTTACAGGAAGTGGCCAGTGAGATAAAAACAAACAGTTCAAATGGAGAAAAATGCCTGAAGAATGGTGTCAATACATGGCACCCAGTAATACAGGCCTGCCAAACTCAAAAGGACCCCTGGAGAAGCCGAGCACTGCATTCAAACTGTAAGCACCAATTTAGTTTCAGCAAAATAATATTATCTCTTACACTAAATTAATGTTATTAGCCTGCATTTCATTGTTTTCAAAGTTCTGTTCGTATTTATGTGTGTCGTTTTCATAGTTGTGTAAAAGCCAAGAATAAGAGCTTACAGTTGTATGTTTATAAATGTCAAATAACATCATAATAAAAATAATGAAAGTCAACACGTAACATCTAGGAAATTAATTTTTCTCTGTAAGGAGTCCACCAACTTATACACAGGCTTTAAAAAATTTGGCCTAGTGTGCCAGGTGCGGTGGCTCACGCCTGTAATCCCAGCACTTTGGGAGGCCGAGGCAGGCGGATCACGAGGTCAGGAGATGGAGACCATCCTGGCTAACACGGTGAAACCCCGTCTCTACTAAAAATACAAAAACGTTAGCTGGGTATGGTGGCCGGTGCCTGTAGTCCCAGCTACTCAGAAGGCTGAGGCAGGAGAATGGCGTGAACCCGGGAGGCAGAGCTTGCAGTGAGCTGAGATTGCATCACTGCACTTCAGCCTGGGCGACAGAGTGAGACTCTGTCTCAAAAAAAAAAAAAAAAAAAAAATTGACCTAGTGTATACCTTTTTTGTTATAATAATACCTTTTTAAAGTTGTTAAAACTACATATGCCATTAAGGTTTTCCTCTTAATGTTATCAGAAAAGCAATTTTTTTTAAAAAAAGGCTTTGTACAAAGTTGGAACGGGGTGAATAATTTTATGTCTAAACCAATTGCTCAAAGTTTACTTCATGTAGCAGTGGATGTGACTTAGCCTCACTTTCTACTGATTCTATTTTCA